GACTGCAGGCCCAGGTTCGAGTCCTGCCTGGTGGCGGCCTAGCAGCTGGCTCTGGCTGGCAGAAAGGCTTCTCCCGCAGGCCGTGTGGCTTCTGCTGCTGCTGGTAAATTCCTGGAAGGCACCTCTACATTGCTGGGTCCTCCTCAGTTGCCAATCTTGGCTCCCCAGGCTTCTCCCCTGAGGAATCTGAGTCCGATTTAAGAGGCTGGTCGGAGGGGATCATGACAGTATGTGTCCACTGAGGAGCCATGTGCAGACCTGAGACTCATGCGGCAGCAGAATCCTCCTTTATACTTGAAATCTATGCATGGCTAAGCAAACAGACGCTGAGCATGGAGTGGAACAGACTATACTAGCCGTCCCTGACCTTTTTGAGCCTGTGAATACCTTTGACATTCTGACAAGAGTGTGACAGGCGCAGCAACAAAATGGCTACCAGAGGAGGCAGAGCCAGCCACATAATGTGTGCTGCGACTTACTTTCAGTCATACCATTAAAGCTATTGTGTTGTGGAGCAGCTGCTGCCAAAGCAACATTGAACAAAATCTGCACAGCCAACCCAATGTCCATTGGCCAATAGCCTCACCTCGCCCCTCCCACTTCCTAGAAACACTTGGCAGGTGTCAGGAAAGGTGTCAGTGGGTGCGGTGACACCCATGGGTGCCACACTGGGGGGACCCCTGGCCTATACCGTGCCACAACCTCAACAGATTTTGTGTTTCCTAGCTCTAAAGGCTGCCATGGATTTGGGAAAACACAGGCCTAAAGTTGTTCACAGATTTGTTCGCTGGCCAGTCGCCAAATCTGTTGTTGCAGCAAGTGACCAACTGAGCGCACATTTCTTTCTCGGAGCGGCTCTTTACAGACCTGCCAGATGCCTGCAAGGGACCTGCCTCCCCTGGAACTTCTGCTGGCTACACTGGTTCATTCTGCAGCTAAGGTTGACACCTGGTTTACTCACACAGCTGAATGAGGAAGGAGAATGGCTTGTACAACTTTTCCCAGAAGGTGAGGGGCACAATGCTTTGGACTACCCCGCCCTCATATTGCTCTTTTAAAAAAAACTTTCTTAAGAGATAGAAAAACAGTAGGAAGCAAGGTGGGCTAGAACTTCTCTGTGATATGCCAGCTCCCCCCCCCCCCATTTTTTAAAATCAGGAAGCATTCAAAAATGGCCTCTCTGAAGCAGTACAATCCAACTGTTCTAATTCAGGACACTCACAGACTATGACTTCACTGCAGGTGTCCATCAGAGGTATGTTTGAAACTCACAAAACTGACCAAATTTTTTAGGACTATGAGAGGTGGTCAATATGCTTGAAGATGCAGCCTCATTTAACAAGCTTGGAAGAATAACATTGCCCTGAACTGGATGGCCCCGGCTAGCCATATCTCAGAAGACTTGCCAAGGAAGCCTCGGGTTGCTACGCAGAGGCAGGCAGTGGCAAACCACCTCTGTTCATCTCTTGCCTTGGAAACCCTATGGGGTCACTGTAAGGCAGCTGCAAAGTTGATGGCACTTTCCACCACTGGGTTTGTTATAACTGAAATGTATTCAGCAGGTGAAATTTTTATCAATTTGAAAAAGTGCTTCTTAAAATCTGTATTTTATAAGCTGTGTTTCAGTTAACAAAAAAACCTTTTTTTCTTTTGCAACCAAAAGGTACTGGGGTTACTTAAGAGCAGAAGGCTGCCATCCTGATACTCCTTTACTTGGCAGTAAACCACACTGAACACAGTAGAACTTACTTCTGAGTAAACATGTATGGGATCAGGCTACAAGTCTAAAAATCTGTCCCCTGTGCAAGGGCATCAAGACTGTTGAGTGGTGACTTCCGGTTTGCGGATTGGCAATGGCGGTCGCTCTCCCCGGACCTTGGGGGAGCGATTAGCACACCAGCGGCATGGAGGGGTGCTACCTCAAGTGGCATCCCCACGGAGCCTTTGTGATAGGCTCCAGGCTAGAGGGCTTTTGAGGGTTAGCCTCTTCGACGGCTTGATGCCGGAGAATCGAGGCTTCCCTCTGCCCTGACGGTCCTGCCGCTGTGTAGCCTTCGGGCACAAGCTAATTTGATCGGGACAAGCGTGGGAGATTGAGCGGAATAACAAATGATGGGAGCGAGGTCAGAGATATGACCAACAATGAATGTGAGTTCAAAGGAAACGGAGTTTTTAAAAAAATGAATCCCCCCCCCGTGGGAAAAGCGGAGCGCAAAGAGGGACGTCTCTTAAGCGCATGGACAAATAAACGCATCGAAGGGGGAAGGGAGGAAGTAAACAGCGAGTTTATTCTGAGAGACTTACGTGAGTGCCGATAATGAGGCGACGAGTTTTTCGAGTTTTTGCGAAGCGGTTTGAAATTGTAAACAAAATTGTAAAATGGCGGCTTCCCGAGGAAAGTTAGAAGCGAAACCGGGCAGTCAGAGCCCAAAACCGGAAGAGGGAGCAGACGTCATGAAGATGTTAGTGGATATGCTCAAGCCGATGGTGGAGCAACTCGATGGTATTAACCAGCAACTGACCACGTTAAACCAAAACTTCGCTCTACAGCAGCACCAGCTGGCAGAAACGGAGAAGAAAGTGGAGCAGGCGACTGAGAAAATTACAGAGATGGACACTGCAAACAAGAAAATGAAGAAAAGAATGGGAGATGTGGAAACAAAACAAAACCTCCAAGAAAACCGTCTGTTACAGCTGCAAGTGGAAAAGGCCAACATGATTCTCAGATTCCAGGGAGTTCCTGAAACTGAAAAAGAAGATTTGAAGAAGACTCTGGGCGAGATTATTGCTCCAGTAACAGGCTTGTCAGTGGATGAAATAATAAAAGATATGGAGACTGCCTATCGGTCTTACTCCAATTATATAAAAAAAAAATAGCCTGCCTGGAGAGATTGTGGTCAGATTTGCAAGAAGGCAGACCAGAGATGCTATATTAAAGGCAACCTCAGCAACTCCACTGAAACCGGGGAATACAATCATTAAGACTCTAAAAGATATTCCATTTGAAATTCGTCAAAAGAGGAAAAGCTATAAGGACTTAATCTCTTTTCTTAAAACCACGGAATTCAGTACCGGTGGGCGATCCCCGAAGGTGTCATCTTTAAAATTAACAATAAAAGAGAGAAGATTGACTCCATTTTTAAAGCCAAGGAATTCTTGAGACGTCAGCTGGGATCGGGGGAAGAATTCAAAGACGAAGAAACCAAATCAAGTGACTCTGCCACCTCTGGAATGGATGAGGACTCTGCGGTAGAAACGGGTGCGGGAGCAATGAAAGTTGTATACGATTTCAGAGATAGAAAACCGAAGTAAAGGCAGAAGGACTCTGAAAATCGCCTTTTGAAGTAAAGAAGATGCTCAGAAAGTTCTCTCATAACAACTAACATATTAACATAGAAGCTGTGAAAAACAAGAACTTTACGAGTATATTGTTTTACTAACACTTTAATTATTATCATTTAGCTTAACACGGATATTATCTCCTTCTCTTGGGTTTTTAGTTAGTGTGGGTTTCTTTTCTTTATCCATAGTTGTAGTTCCCCCTCCCTATGTTTCTTTGTAGTTATATAGTCTTATGAAAAAATAATAAAAATATCCCTTCGGGGGTTTAAAAAAAAAAAAAGACTGTTGAGTGGCCTCACAGCAGCATCCTTTGCCATGCTGCCTCCCCACCTCGCCATCAGGGCCAACACACTAATGCATCAGCTGTCCCCGCTCCCTGAATGGAGGCTGCTTAGGGCAGCTGACAACCTGCTCCTCTCTTTGGCCTTCAACATGCAATTGCCCCCAGCAGAAGCGGAGCCTCACACAGGGGCTCAGATACGTCACTGGATGGTGCATGGTGAGGTGTGAAAGGACACGGCTGCTGGGCCCATGAGGTATCAAATGTACAGGTGACAGGGAAGGGAAGTGGCTTGGATTCTTAGGAGACCGCACCAGGCTCCACTGTGCTTGTGCAGGATTGGAGTCTGGCTCATTTATCACAGCTTGCAAATTCACTCAAAACTGTACTTCAGCCGGCATGCAAAAAGTCAGCTTGGAGGACAAAGCAAGCAAACGAGTCTCTGGAGAGGTGGCATTAAAAAAATTATCTAAAGACACAGGAATGTAAAGCCCATTCAAATGGTGGACTGAATGTAAAACAGAGAGTGCACTGCACAAGCAGCATGCTGTAGCCAGCAGAATGTTGCAGTGGGACCAGACAGCACTGGGCTCAAGTCAGGACACTTGCTGGGCAATGTCTGGCCATGCACCCTCTCTTCAGACTTCAGGTTACAGGGGGAATAAAATCACTGTGTGGATGGAGTGGTGACCAGGCAGTGGTCTTTTGTAGCAGTTTGGCTACACCTAACCCAAACCACAGCCCTGAGAAAGGCCATCAAATATTCTTTGCTACTAAGTTGCCTTTCCCTCCCAGATTTTTGCAGGGCTTCCTACTGACCCAAACAGAAAGAGAGTGGGCGCACACAAAGTCAAGCAACAGGAATTGGGGATATGCCTGGCTAGGAAGGCCTCTGGACTCTCCCATAATGGTGTGCTGCCACCTCCCCAGCTAAACAGACAACAGAGAGAAACTCCACCAAGGCACAGCAGCAGGGAGCTGCAAAGGTACAGTGAAGAACAGCCTAGTGGCACATGTCAAACAAGCACTGTCCTAAGCAAGAGTCACACTCTTCTAAGCACACTAACTTCAGTGGATTTAGAAGGGTGGAACTCTGTTTAGGGCAGCACCATTTCAATCTCCGGGCTCGAGCTGAGAGACACTTGCCAAGATGAGCCCAAATGCTGGATCAGGGACAGCTGAAGGTGAACTGAACGGTGTCTCTCTAATACTGCACTGCAGGGCTAGCCATCTCTTCAGGCTGTTAAGCTTTGCGCATGTGTATGTGATTTAAATCTTCTGCCTTGGGCACCAAAATGCCTTGGGTCATCTCTGGTGGTTGGCTGTGTTTTGGGCTGAGGCAGCCTATGAGACGAGACACAGGCAGCTGGACTATTGTTAAAAAAAGTTTATTGCATTTCATGCAGCTTTTAAATACATGCACTGACTTTATACAGTTAACCAATAACTTATATTTTTGTGTCCGAATTCTCTCAAGTGATTCCAAAATAGTGTCAAGCCACCTTTAAAGCTTTTAGAAAATAGATTTAAACAGGAATGGCAGGTGGGGAGGGCTTTTAGTTCTTTTCGAAGCTGCAAATACCAATACTTAGGCATAGGAATTCCTTTTACAAAAAACTGGGAAACCCCTTCCTTACACACACTCATATAACACACACACACACACACACACACGCTGACCCAGTCTTACTGAATTACAAAGATAGAATGTGTTTGCCTAATGCTAAGTAAGGGCAACAATACAAGACAAAAGTTCACTGGTCAGAGGAAGACAAAGAAAAGATGGCAGGGCATTGAATTAACAGGAAGTAGAATAACCATAATGCTTGGCAAATCCCTTTTTGTTTAAAAGAAAAGCGGGTACCAGGTGGAATTACAGAGCAATGTAGAATTAGCAATTTCTTTCAAAAACAAACAAAAAAGCCCACAAAAAAAACAAGGAAGAAAAATATTGCATTATTGTCCATTTGGAGGATATCTCTCCCTCCCAACAGACTGAAGCAGTTCGTATAATTCAATTACAGATCACAGCCCTTGATGGCTTTGGATAAAAGGAAGATATACAATTGGGTAAGGGATCTGTGGGGTGGGGGAGGGGGGTGAACAGGGTTGAGAAGCATCTTCGGACCAGGCTGGCAGCGTGGCAACTCAGTTGGTGCCAGTTCTGTCCTACCAGCTGGGCCACCTCAGTCTCCTGTGACCTGGGGGGCCTGTCCATCTGCCGTCTGATTAGTGGATTGGATAAACATGGGTTGGGTGATATCCTGGCCGGCAGGCATGGTCACTTGCTGAATCTGGTACAGCTGCTGGAAGACAAAAACACAAGGAGAACACTTAGATTTCCTCCCTCTGATGGGTCCACTCCACACAGTGAACAGCACCTTCAAAACTGTGCTGAAGGCAAATGTGGGAAAGCATGGCAGGCAGGTGGGGGGGGGGGGAGAACCCCTCCCCAGTTCCATTCTTGTTTTGCCATGACCAGACTCATCTCTCTCTTTGTGGGGCAGTCCTGTTGTGACTGAACCACCAGTAGCTGCAACAGATTCTGGAACTCATACCTGTCCGTCAGTAAACTGGCTGAATTGCTGTTGTCCCTGTTGAACCTCTGTCTGTGCAATCTACAAGACACAATTGTCAACAAATTTAGATGGGTAAATCCACCTCTATAGGAAGGATTCAGTGCACAACTTAATTAAACAGACACCCAATGATGCAGAATACTGGAAGCTGCTCTGAAGCAAACTGCCAACTTCACCACCCCAACACGGCTCTTCTCGTTGTTTGATATCCAAGCCCTTTGCAAACATTAAACCTCCATACTGCTCTATTTAATTATTCACCAGCTGAAGGAGTCCAAGAGGAACAGAGAGGGTTAGAACTCCCTTGTTCGACAGATGCAAGCCCTACACAGGAAGTACAAGGCAATTTGCAAAACAAATTCCCTGCACGAGAGACATTACAAGGAAATAAAACGACAGGTGTCCGGGGAGTTTGGGGGGGAAGGGCAGAGACTAAGGAATCATGGTGTGCTTTAGGTGTGTGTGAGATTTTCATTTTAATTCACTTGTGTGGAAGCCAAGGCGTGAAGAAGAATCAAGCCGACATTCATGTGAGCAGATGAGAAACTGAGCATCAAGACCACCTGCGTAAAGCTGCCCTTAGCTGTAAACTTTCAGATAAGTTAATGCGGAGGATCTTACTATTTGTCCTTCACTGATGCCCTTTTTTGAGGAGAGGGGTGGGTGTATTTTAAGAGAAGGAGAAGGATGAAGAAGGGAGAGAGAAGAGGATGAAGCAGGAGAAAGACGACTGTGGGTGGCATAGTGTCATGTATGAGACGAAAATGCGCTCCAGGTCTGAGGAAGCTGAAGATTACAGCTACACATAATGTAACTGTTAAAAAAGTTATTAGCAGCAGTTAGAATAGTTCTCATTAGGTACTGGAAATCAGATACAGTGCTTGTGCGCAAATAATGGCTGTCTGAAGGCTGGTGGGTGGCTGACATGGAAAAAGCTGATCTATATGAGAGAAAAAGAGATTGGATTTATACCTCGCCCTTCACTACCCGAAGGAGTCTCAGAGCGGTTTATAATCTCCTTTCCCTTCCCTACCCCACGACAAACACCCTGTGAAGTAGGCAGAGCTGAAAGAGTTCTTTCGAGAACTGCTCATGAGAGAACTGTTCTGAAAGCACTTGTAACCGACCGAAGGTTACACCAGCAGCTGCATGTGGAGGAGAGGGGAATCAAATCCGGTTCTCCCAGATTAGAGTCCATGCTCCTAAGCACTACACCAAACTGGCTCTCAAGATGGGCCTGAGAAAGAGGAAAGGAGTAGGATTTAACTGAATTTGCCAAAGAAAGCTGGCAATAGTAACAGCCATATTTCCCAGGGCCAGTATGGAAACCATACCTTTTGCACTCTATCACTCTGTTTGCTGTGCAAAAGGTGTTATTTGAAAGTGGATGTTTCATTTTAACTGTAAATGGTTAATCATTGTCTCTACCAGTAAGAAAATAGGCTAAGTAGGCTGGTTTCCGGGAGGTGCCCCGTACACACTTGCTTGAAACATGAAGGCTGAGGTAACCACAAACTTTCTGAAATGACTCCGAGGATCCCATTCCCCCTGCCCCAGGTAAGGAGATATATCTGCAAACTGCAGAAACTAAAAAATCAGAAAATCCACCCCCCTCTGTGGAGCCCCAAGTTCCTTCCCATCAGTCAGAGTTACGTTATGAGCTGCTCTCAAATCCTGCAGGACCAATCGATACCTGCTGTGTGTTGGCCGTGAGCGTCTGGATCTGGCCCTGGACCACCTGAGTGCCAGACACGGGCTGAGCCAAACGGATATACTGTAGCTGGCCAGCGTTGAGCTGAACCTACAAATGGAGATGGAGAAGAAAGTAAAAGGTCAATTGCTTGAAATGCTTCGCCTTGCCTTCTTGATTCAGGGAAACACAGCAACATGCAACAGGATGAGGTCAGCTGAGTAAGGTCTGCAACCCTTCTGGCTTACAAAAACCACAAGCCTTTTCCCCTTCAACGCCCCTCTCCCCATCCTAGTGCCCTTAGCGGCCACTGAGAAGGTTCAAAGGAACTGAAAAGGAGCCCGCCATCCTCGCATCCAACAGCTCTGTCCTCTTTCCAGAAGCACCAACACAACTCAAGAGAAAATTGACCCGTACAGATAGGCAGCTAACAACAATTCAGCCTGAATACCAGACATCACACAACTGCCAATGGAGGTAGAAGAGCAGGCAAGGCAGGGGGTGTCACCTGCTGGAAGTCTTGCACTACACAGCTACTATCTAATATTATTTCTTCACGATGGTCATAGCTAATTTACTCAAAATATTTCTATCCTGCTTTCTCCAGAATCTGCCCAAAGCAGCCATACAGAACTAAAAAACACTGGGGAATTTCACATTACCCGTCTTCTCCCGGTTTCAAGCCGGGAGTCTTCCGTTTGCAGATGAACCGGTAGAGGGCTGCCGTTTCACACACGGCTTGCCCCTACCGGAAAGGAGCAGATTCAGAAGCGGTTCGGCGTTTCACACACGCACCGCTTTGTTTCCCCACGGTTTTTTTTTTAAAGTCCGTCTTATAGCGATATATCGATATACCAGTATTCCAATGTATTCCAATGGGATCGGTATAGCGTTATATCAATATAAGCCGAACGTTCAAAAAAAAAAAAAAAGCCCGCGCGGCTGAAAAAAGGCGGGAAAGAAGCGTATCGGGACCGGGAGAGGGAACGGGAGCCTCCTCGGAAGCGGTTGACAATTAAAACGCTTCCCTCCCGGTTCCTAATCGGAAGAGAGGCTTCCCTGTGTGAAATGAAATGCCACTTCACCCCGGTAGGGAACCGATTCTCAACCGGGTTCTGTCTGAAATGACAGACCAGCACCCGGTTGAGAATCGGTTCCCTACCGGGAGAAAGCACCTGTCTGAAATTCCCCACTATTAACATTCTAAGAGAGTTAATTTCTCCTCCTCAACATCAGGCACTAGAGTATTACATACAAGGTGTCTTTTTAAAAGGACTTCATGGAGACAACGAGAGATGGTTCGGTAGGTATTTAGACATATGTTTTAAACTTTTTTTTGGGGGGGGGTATTTTTGCATTTGTGTGTGTTTGTGCCCGTGCTTAGAAGTCATGTCAACCTCTGGCGACTCCTACTGGGGTATGGAGGATGTTCAGAGAAGTGGCTTGACAGACTGGCCTTCCCAGCCTTGGTATTCTCTGGAGGTCTCCCATCAAAATACTTGCCAGGGTTGGCCCTGCTTAGCTTCTGAGATCTGACAAAATCGGGCTTGCCTGGGCTATCCAGGTCAGGGATAGACATATGTTTTAAAAGCCAGTTTGGCCTGAGCTTGGCAGGGATTAGGAGCTGAGCAGGGTCAGCCACAGTCAGTATGTGGATGAGAAGACCACCAAAGACAATTGGTGTTGCTATATGGAGGAAAGCATTGGCAAACCCCTCCGCTCATCTCTTGCCTTGAAAATCCTATGGCGGTTATGGCTAAGATCAAGTGTAGTGTCTGTTCTTATTAGTTTTAGATCTGATATGTTCTCTATTTGAGGACTATATATTAAATGGATTTTTGGAATTGGGAAAAAAAAAATCCTATGGCAGGCTGGGGTCACTGTGAATCGGTTGTGACTCGACAGCACATTCTAAAATCCTTGCTCCTGAAACTGAAGTTCTGGACTTTAGTGATTTCTCCAGCACTCTGTGAAAGCATCCAATATTTGTTCCTCAAAGCAATCACCCCCCTGCAGCAACCGTAAACTTTATGCAAGCACAAGCTTCTACGCACCCATATTTCAGGACTGGAATATGCCTACGGGAGGGAAAAGACTTTCGCAACTAGAGGCATCTAGTTAGATTTTAACTAGAATAACTAACTCATTGGAGAGAATGGATTCCCAGCACTGCTCTGCTGTAAGCAACCACAGATTTTCTGGCTCAGAAGAGACTACTTAAAATTACATTCTCCCCACCACCACCACCACCAAGTTGTTAAGGGTCACTATCAATTTGTATCTGCAAAACCATTGTTAACGTTTCCCTAAGGTGCAGCAGGTACGTTTTGCATATATTTGGTGCAGATCTTATGTAAACATTTTGCATAGTACAAATAGTACAAATAATGATTTATTATTTCAGGGATTGTAAAAAACTTTTTGTGTTGTTTTATGGGTTGCAGACGACACTGGTTTTATGAAGAAGGGCAGAACATAAATAAAAACCAGAGGGCCAACCACGCTGTTAAATAAGCTCTGGCAGTGGTGGAAATAGTATTTGAATTTTACTTGCAGCACTAAGTATTATTTGCGGCTCAAATGTGCTGCACAGAAAGCAATAACAGTTTTCTTAGCTACAAGAACAGGACATCTCAGCCTTCCCCCTAAAACCAGGCAGCCACAGAAGCTGGCAGCTGCAGCACTGGACCTCTGCTAACAGGAGGAAAATGCTTCGTATTTATTTATCTCATTAGACTTATAGCCCACCCTCCCCACATCGTAGGCTCAGGGTGGGTAACAGCATATGCGTATCTGTAGTTAATGCAGATTTACAATATTAAAAACATATTACAAATACTCAGTTTAAAATCCATAAAATCCTCCTCCTCATATCATTAAAAACATCTGCCTTAAACAACAATGCGCCTCAATGGCAAATAATGTGGTTCCAGTCTGGCTTCCAGGATCTGCGGTCACTTGGGGGGGGGGGGGGGGGGGGCAAAACAAAAGAGCCCGCTGCCTCAACTAAAGGCCTGGTGGAAGAGCTCCATTTTGCAGGCCCTGCAGAACTGCAACAGGACCCACAGGGCCCTGATCTCATACGGTAGCTCATTTCACCAGGCAGGGGCCGGGGCCAAGAAAGCCCTGGCCCTGGTTGAGGCAAGTCAGATACCCCTCGGGCCAAGGACTACCAGGAGGTGTTGATTGGTAAAACGTAATGTTCTACAGGGCTCATAAGGGGAGAGGCAGTCTCGAAGATATGCAGGCCCCTGGCCGTATTCGGCTTTAAAGGTGAGCGCCAACACCTTGAAACGAATCTGGAATTCAATAAGCAGCCAGTGCAGGTCACACAACACCGTGTGGATATGTGCCCGCAAAGGCAACAACATCAACACCCGTGCCGCTGCACTAGCTGCAATTTCTGGAGCAGAGTCAAGGGAAGCCCCACATAGAGAGAACTACAATAATCTAATCTGGAAGTGATCGTTGCATGGATCACTGCAGCGTGATCGCGGTGGGTGAGGCATGGGGCCAACTTCCTAACCTGCCTCAGATGAAAAAAGGCGGGCCTGGCAGTGGCAGTGACCTGGGCCTCCATAGTCAATGAGGCCTCCAGGAACACCCCTAGGCTCTTCACCTTTGGCACTGGCACCAACAGCACTCCGTCAAAGGTTGGCAGCCTAATATCCAATCCCAGACTCCCACAGCCCAGGTGCAGGACCTCCATCTTTGTTGGATTCAATTTCAGTCTGCTCTGTTGTAACCATCCAGCCACAGCTTGTAACACCTCATCCAGATGTTCTAGGGCAGAGTCTGGGTGGCCGTCAATGCTCCCTCTAAGCTGTGAAGTCTTGTGAGCAAAAATTCTACTTCGTGAGCTACTGGCATTAAAGTTGTGAGCGAGCAATTTGGCTACTGCATAAATTAGTTTGCTCTGGAGCCATCCTTCCTGAGCTATGACAAAAATGGGTGAGTTGGAGGCAAAAAAAACTGTGAGCTAGCTCACACTAAGTCAGCTTAGAAGGAACAATGGTGGCCATTCATCAGTAGATACAGTAGTAGATAGATCTGCATATAGGGGGTGCATATAGTGGTTGAATAACACTGGGGAGAGGATCATTCCCTGTGGCACCCCACATCTAAGTGAGTGTCGCTGGGACAACTCCCCTCCCAGCGCCACCCTCTGTCACCAAACTTGGAGAAAAGAGGCCAGCCACTGCAAAGCTAGTCCCCGTATCCCCACATCAGCAAGGTGGTGGGTAAACAATTCATGGTCAACTGTATTGAACGCTGCTGACAGTTCTAAAAGTATCAGCAGCACCAAGCCGCCTCGATCCAAATGTCTCCGGAGGTCATCCACCAAGGTGACCAACACCATCTCCATCCCGTGAGCAGGCTGAAAGCCAGCCTGGAAAGGATCCTCCAAGAAAACCTGGAGTTGTGTCGCCACCGCCTTCTCCACTACCTTGCCCAGGAATGTTAAGTTGGACACTGGGCGGTAGTTGTTAAGGACCACAGGGTCCAAGGATGGTTTCTTTAGGAGGGGGCAGACCACTGCCTCCTTTAAGCTCCCTGAGAAGGTCCCTGTGTTTTTTAAATAGGTTTTTATTGATTTTCTACAGAAAACGAAACAAACATGAGAATCTACAAGACAGACTAACATATAACAAACAGGAGTCTTTATAACTCGATTGGTTTACATACATAGAATCATACTTATATGCACCCTCACGTGTAAAATACTATATAAGCTAGAATATATTTCAGTTACTCCTGCTGTGAAGAACTTGGCCGCCAGTGTGGGACGTCGCCCATCTTGGATTTTATGTAAATTATCAAAGCACCAAATTTTATGTCAAGATATAGTGTTTTTATTATGCTGTTGTTTGTATGCATATTTTAACTTCGGCATGGCCGTTTGTTAGCCGTCCCGAGCTGTATTTTGGATGGGGCGGGATATAAATCCCAAAAATAAATAAATAAATAAAATAAAATAAGTTACTTATAATATAAAGTTATTGTGTGCATCTTTGCAGATACACCTCAATCCATTTATACAGTCTTGACCATGTTTTTTCAAAAATTTCTTCTTTTTTATCTTGTAGTTGCAACGCTACTTTGTCCATCTCTGCAGTTTCTAATAGTTTGTAGATAATTTTTTCTTTTGCTGGCACTTTTTCTTTACTCCAATATTTTGCATACAAAATCCTTGCAGCTGTTATTACATGTATAATCATATATGCATCTGGTTTTTTAAATCTTTCTGGAATAATATTTAATAAAAACAATTCTGGTAAAAATGGTAGATTTGTTTCTAATATTTTTTGTAATATCTCTTGTATCCAAACCCAATATTTCTTAGTTACATTACATGACCACCACATATGAAAGAGGGAACCAGTATTTTGTTTACATTTCCAGCATACTTTCGACATACTTGGATAACATTTTGCTAAGTTTTCTGGGGTTATATGCCATCTATAAAACATTTTATATATATTTTCTTTATGTGAAATAGCTTTAGTAAATGTTATATTGGTTTTCCATATCTTTGTCCATTGATCTAATTCTATGTTGTGGCCCATATTTTGTGCCCATCTAATCACTGAAGATTTCACTACTTCATCTTGCATTTTCATGTCTATTAGCAGTGTATAAAATGATTTTATAAACTTTTCTTCTATATGGAATAAAGTTTTGTCCAGGTCTATAGGCTTTGCATAAAAACCAGTTTGTTTATCTTTAGCATATCTTGAGTCAAGTTGCGCACTTTCTCACCAGTTCAAACAAAAGTCCTGTTTTTGGAGAATATCTTGTGTTTTTAAATTGTTTTTCTTATCTAAAAGATCTTCATATCTCCACATTTGAACTTTAGTCAGTAAGGCAGGATTTATAAAAGATTCAAGTGGTGAAACCCATTTAGGTATTTTTGTGTAGAACAAGTTTTTAACTTCTTCCCATTTCTTCATAAATGCTGCTCTTACCATATGTTGTTTAAAATATTTATGCGTGCTACTTTTTTCATACCATACAAAAGCATGCCAACCTAATTTCAAATCATGACCTTCTAGCTTTAAAATTCTAGGATTTTCCAGGGTAATCCATTCTTTCATCCATGTCAAGGCTGCTGCTTTGTAATAAATGTGCCATTCCGGTAATGCAAAACCTCCTCTCTCCTCCTGTAATACATTCATCTTTATTCTGGCTCTTTTACGTTGCCAAATAAAGTGCCGAATCAGTTTGTCCAATTCTTTAAAATACTGTTGGTTTCTTAAGAGCAGGTACAACAACTACAAGAGATTTCTGGTATTGAAGTTCAGAAGAAAATAAAATACTTAGGGATAACCTTAACTAACAGGTGCAGTTCCTTATTAAAAGACAACTATATGAAACTTCTGACTGAAATTAAAAAAGATTTGGAAAAATGGAAAAATTTACAAGTATCTTTTATGGGGAAAATAGCTACTGTAAATATGAATGTCTTACCTAGACTTCTTTTTTTATTTCAGAAGGTCCCTGTTAATAGGGATAGGTTGATGATCTCCCTCGAGTCCCTACCGCATCACCGCAGGCTTTCATTAGCCACAATGGGCATGGGTCCAGAGGGCAGGTGGTGGATTTCACAGCTGCCAAGGTCTTGTCAACTGCATTATGGGTGAGCAGAAATGGTCCAAAACTGGACCCACAGACAGACAAGGGGCTTCCAGTTCCCTTATTGTATCAAGTGCGGCTGGGAGGTTGCAGTGGAGCATCAAGACTCTTCCAGATACAAGATCCTTCCCAGAACCCTGTTCCAGTGGTCCCCCCCCCGACACATTCTCTGGAGTTTGTCAAAACACTGGCATAAGTCAGCAGCAGCAAAACAAATGATGATGAAAGGGGTGTACAGAACAAAATAGGAGCAGGAATAAAAAACAGGAATGAGTATCAGGAAGGAACCCAGGAAAGGACAGAGCAGGGCCATGGCTCAGTGCATGATTTGCATGACGGTCCTAGCTCCAATCAGCACCCCCCACAATCTCCAAGCTAAAGGACGTCAGCTCTTCTATGCTGCAGAGGACAATATGGAGCTCACCAGGCTAAATATTGGAATAGGGAGCTTCACAGGCTCATAGAAAGCAACAGGGAGTCAGAGCAGGTTTGAGAGGCTGGCCCAGAGCTAATTTCACATGTTCAGAAAAGGCTGTTTCAAGACATGCCAAGGTAAGTTTCTGGCCTTCCATTTAATGGAAATATTAGATGTAGGGGAAGCATTTGAAAAAGCGACTCCTTAATTGCATTATGTCAGTTCTTTATGATCTTCAAAACTGAAGAGATAAGAGAGAAGGATGAATATAGCAGAGCTGGCTTGATAGCAAGGAGGCAGCCACTTAGGGGAGCAGCACCCCAAAAGGCAGAAGTGAGAAAAGAAAGCATGGGGGTAGCTAGAGGTTTTTTTTTAATGCTGGGTTGGAGATTCAAGGGCCATAAGCTAAAGAGGGGAGACTGGGAGAAGAGGATTGAATGCATGTCTGTTGACCGGGGGTGGGGAGATATATCCTTTCTGTGTTCAGAATTGTGCCTCAGAAGAGAAGCATTTTTTTTTTAAGTAGCAGCTTTCAACAGAGGAAAGTCCCACTGCAGAGTCCGCAAACGACTGCAGGCCTCTTACCGGTATTTGTTGGATTTCGCCCGTGTTGGTGATGATCTGCTGCATCACTTGCATCGTCTGCCCAGTCCCACTCTGTGCCGTCTGCGTCTGTCCTTGTGGCTGCGCCTGGACAATCTGCACCTGCTGGCCCTCGCCCACCTGCATGGTCACAGGGGTGGTCTGGGGGAGAAAAAGAGCACAAGAGGAAGCACCCTGGCATCCTCAGCGATAAGGCAAGCCTTGACAGGCTCCAGTAACACTGCCAATCTGACGAGTGTGCATGTGCGCACACACATACATGGAGGGAAGGAAAGCTAACTGGTTTCCACAAAGTCACCATGTTGGGGGGGGGGGACGGACATGAAACAGTACAGTGATGGATGATGGGCTGGCACAAGAATTTCAGTATGGATTTTGTTTTGTTTGAAACATACAAAGAGCAGAAGCGGCCTAGACTCTTATCAACCCACTGCCAGAGCTGCAGTGGTGGAACCAGAAAGTGAATGCGAAATGGCAGCCATTGGACTTCCTGGTCACAGAAAGCTACCAAGCCAGCTCTAAGCAGCTGTGTTTTCAGAGGGAAAAAAGCACATTGCTTCCCAACATGGGTAGTCTAGATATGCAGCCTGCAATGCTGGAAGGCCTGAGGGCAAACAACACCAACAGGAGAGACAGGACTTCTTATCCCACCTAGAATTGGGGACACACACAACTTCTACTGCTGAACTAATTTAATTCATTCCCCCTTTGCTCCCCACAGATAAACAGCACCCATTCTGTGCAATTCCCTCCCCCAAGGGGGGGGGGGGGCTTGTCAGGTTAGCCTCCTTCCGGACTGCAGAAGGGCAGTAAAGACGTTCGTACAGCCCAGGGCATCTGGAGGTGGCAAAGAGCATGTTTGGGGAATGTTTTCCAGCTACTCTTGTTGCTACAATCAACTTTGTCTGGCTCCTGTTCACATGGTCACTGTATTATGTTTTAATCGTCCTTAGAGGGGCTTGATTTTCAAATTGTACAGATACTGCGAACAGGCAGCTTTGGAGCCCAACAGGCAATTTACAGTTTTAGGGGTGGGGGGGAAACACACAAACCACTAGCTCTGGTGGCAAGGCCACAAACGTCCTTCAACACAACCAACTTTGGTGGAATGCCCATTGTGTTTTTGAGAGATCTTCAGGCACCAAAAGTTGGCATCCACGTATCTGTTCCACAAAAGGCAGCAATTTCCCCCCAGTACAAGGAAATGCCACCTGACACAAGGGGTTCCTTGCACTGGCAGAAAGGGCTACTGTTGGCAAACAGATCTGTGGGACCCAAGTCCACCTACTGACCTGCCCCTGCTGAGGCTGTGCGATTATGATCTGCCCAGGTTGGATGGTGGTTGTGGCGGTGGTTGTCTGTTGCCCTTGCTGCTGCCCCTGGACCTGGACGGCAGCAGGCTGCTGAGCGAGCGTGAAGTAGTACTGGACGGGTTCTGCTGGAGTCACAGCCTGACGCACCTCCTCCTGTGCCACAGAAGAAGAAGAAGAAGAAGAAACCAGAGTGAAAAGGCCAGGCTCGGTGGCTGAAGCTCTCCCCTTGCTAGCCTTGGGAAGAACAGACTCAGGAAATACAGTGGAAACCAGAGCATTTCCAGATTTCTGAAAAGTCAACCAACCATTTTGCTTCCTCGCCAAGAGGCACTTGACTGAAGTTGTGCATCAACGGCTTGCTGTGTTGAGGCAGTCACAAAGATATTTCCCTTGCTCTCCTGCTCACAACATATTCTAATTTGGATGAGGCAGGCTTAACTATGGGGGGGGGGGATGTCACATGGAGAGGAGAAATATTAGCATAATAGAAAGTGAGGTTAGCTTATAGATCTGGGACTGCACGGAGGGCAGAAACATATAAAAGTGCTCTGAAGGTCTGAGCTCCTTTCTGATGCAACATCAGAGTATTACTACATGCAGCAGAAGAGCTGGCAGCACTTTAACTAAACAGCCAACATGATGTAGTGAGAAAAATGGGGGGGGGGAATGAAGAACAGGACTCCACTCAGTATTCACCCACTGTGCGACCACAGCAAACTCATCTTCTCTCCATCTAACCACCTAATTGTCCTCCCCATTCATTTTTCCCAGTGGGATCTGAACCCAGGTCTCCCTGATGTTAGCCCAGCGCTCTTATAACAGCTTTTGCTTGTTCTAAGAATAAAATGAAGCGATCCTTTGGAAGTCCTCCTTGGAAGAAGGGAGGGACAGAAAATCTGACAGAGAGAAATACCTCCCACTGGGGTCTCGGGGAGAACACTTTTTGGTGCTGACTGCCAAAGGGCTCGCTCAGGGTTTCATCTCCCCTTGAAGCACGAGGCTCAGCAGAGTTGCATCACCTGGAGCTGCTGCCCACCCTGCTACGTGCCCAGGAAATTTTCTGGACCCTACCAACACTTACCAATTAGCATTAACAACAGGACCCAATGAAAACTCAAGATAAATTTGTTCAACAAACCTGATCCAGGTGTTGTTTTTTTTAATTACCTCCCTCCATTTTGAACCTCTCCTTGGTAACACTGCAAGAAAGAAAATCTGGGGACAGGAGGCTTTGCAGAGAGAACTCCAGCCCCAGTTCCTGCCCAGAAGGAAGGAAGACGGCCATTAGACCACAGTTTTCAGGATGGTCAGTCCATGGCAGAAGGCGTAAACAACCTTCTCCCAGCCACCGCAAAGTCACAGCTGAGAGTGTAGGATGTTTACACGTGCTGCTGCATGGGAAATGCTGGGTCTGCCGAGGTCACGCAACAACCCGACAAGAGATGGTGGCTTGCAGACCAACTTCCACTGACTTCCCTCTGATCCGTAATGGCTGAGAGACACGATTCTCAGCTGAAAAGACGCCTAGAAAGGCTGAGGCTGGAAGCTACGAGAAGACTGGGATTTTGCACCCTCCAAAAGATGGCGGCAGCCATTGCTAGGGCTGAATACAACTCTGGCTCAACAGCAACTTGCCAGACTCGATATCCTGCTCCTGCTAAGCAAAAGGTCCGTGAAACAGAGAAGCCCACTGAATGTGTCAGAACTCCCCAGAGCCCTTCTGAGAGCCCCTCTTGTACCCCAGGGGTCAGAGGCTGCCCATCGCTTCTGCACAGCCAGCATTAAGTTCCAAGTTTCCTTTGCCCCAGGAACAAAGTTTGTGCGAAGAGTGTTTTTCAGGTTATTCTAAATATATCTCAACTGTCAACGTCTTTGACCTTCTCCTATAAACGTACAGGTATCAAACCGATCTCCTTAACGTGCTTAAAAAAAAAATGGAGTACAATTATGCATGAAACTGTTTTGGAATGGCTTTTGACCCCACGACTGGATGCACAAACTGTTGCTGAAAAATTCATAATCACAAACAGTCATGCTAACCTTTGTTGAGGGCAGCCTTGGAGTTCAGTGGAGGCCAAGAGGCAACGCTGCCAAGAATGGGTGGAATGGATTCCATCCACATCGCGTCAGGCTCTCCTGCGCAGTCACCGGACTGTGATAAGGCAGCGGACCCGGCTCTAGAAAGTGAGCTGGCTAACTTAACAGGGAGGGAAGCATTCCTTTATGACAGAATGAGGATTGAAGACCAATTGCTACAAATAGACTGAAGGCCTCTATTTTTTCTCCTTCTTTGTCTAAGGCCAGACACTGTCATGTCTCCAGAAAAGGTGGAGCTGACGTACTGGAGCTTGCTCAAAACGACAGCAGAGGGAGAAGCTGATGCTGTTGTGTTACTGTGGACTGAAAACAGGCAGCCACAGCAGCAGCTGGCAGGACGCAGCCTGGTTCAAACTGGTTCAGATGTAAAGCCATTTTTGCCCAGAGCATTGTGAAACATTAACCAGGAATGCAAGCTATTAAGATGCAGAGGGTGACTTCATCCCGCCCCAAAGCTCAGGAAGCCTGGAGTGCTGCAATCACCACTAGGTTCTAGGATCATCAGCTGAGAGCTCCTGCTCTCCCTGTCTTGACTTCTTCCTGCCTCAGGTCCCTGGGTGTGAACAGGGCACCTTCAGAGTGTCATGGCCCAATCAGCTAGAGCAGAGGCTTCTGGTTAACACCAGAGTGTGTACCATAGCTCTGCCCACAGATCTTTGGATTCTGTTGGCAGCAAGGAAAACACACTATCCCACCTGACACGTTAAAGGATGGGAGCAAAAAACTCATCCTCTTTTAACCTGCTGGTTAAGCAAACAGTTTGGTTTGTGGTTTTTATTTACATCCCACCTTTCCTCTTGGTTCAAGGTGGTTTACAATAGATAATAGTTTAAAACATCCCCAGCAAAAAATCAAAGATAAAATAACAAGCCCCAAGTCCCTCCCCTCTCCTCTTTATATTCAAAACTCCTTAAAAGCCCCAGCCAGCAGGCAGGTTTAATTCTCCTCTTGTTTGCAACATATTCCCATGAGCACTGAATGAAAGTTGGTACTTCTGTTCTGGGCATAATTTCATGTTCCAAGTTCAAACGCTACCTCAACCCCTGCACCTGTTTTTATGAGCAGGATACACTGCAAGGGTCTCTTGAATTTTAGTACTGAGCAGCACTGAAGTGTTTCCGGTTAACTTGAAAATGTTCACCCAACTACTGGCTGGACAGAATACCTCTGCTACGTTCTGAACCTATGGGGGATTTTCAAGCCACCTAGAGTACAAGATTACTCTAGTGTCAATTCCAGAGAATATGGCTATATGAGACTGCTGAGGCAAAATCACAAAAGGAGTCCCATGGCACCAGAAAGATTAACAGACCTCTTGTTGCATAAACATTTGTGGACCAGAGTCCCATTTTATCAGATGCACAAAGAGAATTAATTCAGGCATCTGATGAAACGAGCAGTAGCTCATTAAAGCTTACGCTACAATAAATCAACTTGTTTTTAAGGTGCCGTGAGATTCCCTGTTTTGCTTTTCTGGCATCATTTTACCAGTCACTTCCAAAATTCCAGGCATATGCATTCTGCAGGAAGCAGAATTTGGAAGCAGGTGCTCCCTGCTTCTGTCATCAGAAGACAGAAGCCCAAGCCGCTGTATTGATGTGGGATTGAATTTCAAAGGGAAGCGGGTGGCTCTTACAGTGATCCTGGAGAGTCAAACTTCTTTGGAGCTGGAGAATCAGCACTATCTAAAGCATTCCAGCAGAAGCTTTCAGAGAGCCTCAGACCTTCACAGCAGCGGTCTTGAACTAAAATGAATTCAGCAGAAAGAGCTTCACAGCAGAAAAATAATTAGTGATCCGACAACTAACTGCAAGAAGCAATGAGCAAGCAGCGTTTGTTCCTCTCCTCACTCCACTTGAAAAGTATACCAGACTGGCCATTAGTTTTCTTCCCATCCTAGCAGGGACTTAAAAAAGAAAGAAAGGAGTGTTTACAGTTACTATGGACACACATCAAAATTATATCGTTCAGAGACTCCCAAAGACCACCAAGAAAGGCTCTGCAGAGGAACACAATGGTAAGCCACCTCCGCTTCTCACTTGCCTTGAAAGCCCCTTGTTGGGGTTGCCATAAGTTGACTGAGATTTTGACAGCACTTACATATGTAATTCACAGGACTGCTATAAGTCAGAAGCAACTTGATGGTACACAGCAAACACAATGATGTGAAACTCAAAATTTGTTCATATTTATTCCATGTACCCTGGGGATTTCTCCTCTCTGTGGTCTTCCCCACTATCAAAATTTAGAGTGTAACCTCCTTGGGGGCAAAGACCTACGGTTGAGATTCTGGAAAGCAATACACAAGTGTATATTATCAGTATCAACAAAATAAATACAAAACTTCACTGTTGCAAGAAGGCCAGCTGGCTTGTTCTCTTGGCATTCTTCCACATATACTATTTCAGCCAAAACAAAAAAGACAAGTGGAGGCAGGGAGATGGGGTTGAGGGAACCACATGGACCACCTTGAACTCCTTGGGGGAAGGAGTAGAATAAAAAGGCAATGAACAATCAATACAAATCAGTGTAGTGACAGCTACATGACACCAAAGATGTGGGTCTATATGGAATACTTTTGTTGATGGATATATTTCTTTTTATACAGGTGGTTTAGTGGAATCTTGTGACTCACAAGTTGATCCTGAACAGATGCTGTGCCCACAAGCTGCCTCCCACCCAGGTGCCTCCCCTAAAGGGCTCTTCGATACAATCCCACTTCTGTTCAGGAGGACTGTGGCAGCCTGCCGCTGTAAACATCCGACTGAAAGCCCTCCTGAGCACTGTACAGCTTCCAGTCAAGGATGTTTACAGGAGCAACGACTGCCCAGAAAAGACACAGGCGATGACAGTTCTAGGATGGAGAAGACAATGCTTGCTCTTTGCTGCAGGGAGGAAGTGGTCCACAAAACTTCCTGGAGGAACCAGACTCGTCTAGAGGGCAGTGGCGCCTGTCATTATTCCCTCTGTACATTGATGCTCTTTTTAATGGAGGTTTTAAAAGTATCTGGCTAAAAATTGACTGGTCCAGCACTGGACCCAGACAGCTGTGAGAAAAACGTCAGTAGCCATTACTGCCTTTTGGCATCTGATCTCTAAAAGTTGGCCCCAACTGGGCCAAGAAGAACTGCCACATGCAAACATCAAGCGGCCCTGAACTTTGATGAATGAACACATCACCTCCAACTCATGCACCAGACAAGCAGCTCCCAGCATCATGCCCAGATTATTGCTTATGTAACAGAAGTCCGCTGTGCAGGTAATCAAGTGCCCAATTGTGTACTGTGCCTGTGGGGGTGGGGGTGGCTCAGCACTTCAAAATCAATACGCATGCTGCTTCCTGTGATTTCTAAAACATTCAATTACCTGCCTCAAAAGCAGCAGCAATACCGTTTGTCACACTGAGATGGCAGAAAAGTGTCCAAGGGCTTAAAAGAATAAGCTGCGGTGAATACAGCTGGGCAACCAAACCCTGTCCTGCTAAAAAGCAGAAAGTAGCTGTAGCTGGGGTGTGTATGACAGGAGCTGCTGCAAACTGTGGCAGATATTCCAGGATGGTGCAACTTCCATTTATATCCAACAATTTCAACACAGCACCTCTTATTCATTCTCTGTTAAAAGCGGTGTGTTTGTGTGTATGTGCGTGCACGCGCATCCTGTGCTTTCCCCATCCATTAAAGCTGCTGTCAGGCCCCTTATTTACTTTCCTGCTGGGATTCTGGCTGCTCTAAGGGGTGGCAGAAGATAAAGTACTTGAAGGTCGTCCTAAAACTGCATCCAGTATCATACACTTAGCAGCCTAATACCCCAGCCTAGCATGATCTTGTCAGAGCTTGGAAACTAAGCATGGATGAGAGACCAACAAGGAAGACTGGGGCTGCCATGGTGAGGAAGGCAAACCACCTCTGCTCATCTCTTGCCTTGAAAACTCCATGGTCCTAGGGCCACCATGAGTCAGCTGTGACTTGAGAGTATACTATTATTATTGTTGTTGTTATTGTTATATGCTGGGCCTCCCACATCCCCTACCCCTAGTTCGCCCATGGAAGTAGTCAGGGTTGGAGTACACAGTGCAGGAGCAGCCCCGCTGCTGTTCACATCCTTGTTCCAAGCTCATGTTCAGAATCCAGCACCTTGTTCTGAGCCCCACACAGAAATACCGGGACCAAGAAATGGTTGAGTGTCTGCTGCCAGAAGCACCATCCAAAAATCTCCTCTCAGATATCTGGCCACGTGGCACTTGCGAGAATAGGTCAGAAGTTGTAGGGAATTGAGCCTGAGGACTGCATTTCCACCAGCAGCTGTCAGTCCCAGAGGGAGGGCCCACACTCTGCCTTTCGTTTTCCATCAATCCTGCTGTCATCAAAAGAACTTTTACAGACCTTGGTCAAAGGACCGGAACCTGTCTCCCAGGGTGATGGCTCTTATGATTTCTGTAGTTAATGGGTTGTGACCTTCTTTTATGCCTTGAGAATGCCAATGGAAAGGCAGAATGTACATCTAAGAACATTAATCTGGTATTCTAACTGGGCAAAGCAGAGGAAATCCCATCTATGTACGGGAACTACAGCCTAACTCTGTAAACAGATTCCACCATCTCACTGTAAGAGATAGAGAAGAATACGTTCTACAGTGCCCAACTTCTGAAGCTGCCTTACCAGACCATCGGTCAATTAAGGTCAGTATTGTTTATGCAGATTGGCAGCAGCTCTCCAAAGTCTCAGGCAGAGGTCTTTCCCATCACCTACTGTCTGTTTTTTCTAACTGGAGATTGACCCTGGAATCTTCTGCATGCAAAGGCAATTCACAGTGGATTCAAGTAAGTATTTCTATGACAGTTTTACCTGAGCTGCGCCAAATATTTGCTCATTTTCTTTTTCAGGATGACATGAATTGGGGTGTGTGTGTGTGTGTGTGTGTTAAATATCCTGAAACAACCTGCCACACAAACACTGTTGTGAACATTCACTTTTTTGCTATTATTACCCTGATACACACACTACTCTTTGGTCTCTTTTTCCCCTTTGGTGGGACTTTCTTCTTCATGGGGAGCAAGATTCAAGTCCAGTAGCATCTTAAAGACCAACAAGATTTCCAGGGTATAGGCTTTCAAGAGTCAACGCTCCCGTTGTAAGATCTGATTAAGGGAGCTTCAACTCTTGAAAATGTATACCGTTGAAATTTTGCTGCTATTTAAAGGATCAATATCCTGAATCTTGCTCTTCTACTGCAGACCAACACGGATACCCACTTGAAACCTTCTTCGTGAAGTGATCCCAGGCAGCCATGGATCGTGTCGTGAACGAGATGACATCGCAACTCTGCACAGCCAGTCAGACATGACTATGTGCTGACATCTATCACCAGCTGTCCACAGATTTATGAAATGAAAGGAGATCCAGAGCTTATGGGACTGGTGGTGAGTGATCCTTGTCAAGCAGAAACTTGCTCAAAGAAAGGAATTTGGGGAGACGTTCTCTGATGAACCAAATGTTTTTATCTCTTTTGCAGTGATCCCAAGACCCCCCCCCCCGAAACACTACCAAGGGAGGGTGGGAAATCGTTTTGACTGACAATGATCTTGACAAAAAGAGCCCCTTTTCTGTTCAATCAATCCCCCCCCCCCCGGATCTCACCTGGCGTTTGGGAGGTTTAAGCTCATCCCTTGGAACAATGTCGATGAGAAAATCAAACTGATCAAACTTGGTTATGGCCATGGCAATGTCATTTCTCTGTAACAAAGAAGAAGAGGGAACGTTCAGAACCTGCATGTGGGTTGGAAAGTGTGTTGCTCAGGTTAACAAGCAAGAAGCACTGGTGTATTATTATTATTATTACTACATATTAAATTTATAAACTGCCCTTAAAATGTACAATAAATAATTAATTACAGATAGTGATCGATGGCATACATTGCATTTCACTCCCTCCCTAAGGCAGATCAGTAGCTGGTCACGGTAGGCCAAGATGAAAGGCCACGGTGTGGGCCATCGCTGTCCTCCACAGTAGGCCTGGCAAAACATCTCTGCTTTATACGCCCTGAGGAACTGAACTAGGTCTTGCAGGGCATGGATGTCATCAGGCAGAGAGTTCCACCAGGCTGCAACCAGGGACTTTTTGGCCCTGGCTCTAGCTGAGGACAGCTTGATGTCTTTTGGGCCAGGGATCACCAGTAGATTTTGATCTAATGAGTGTGAAGCTCTTTGAGGGACATACCAGGAGAGGTGGTCCCTCAGGTATATTGGCCCCTGACCCTTAAGGGCCTTGAATGTCAAAACCAAAACCTTTAAGTGGACCCAGTACTCAACTTGGAGCCAGTGCAGCTGGCGAAACACAGGTTGAATGTGTGCCGTCATTGGGGTACCTGGAAGTACCCATGCCGCTGCATTCTGGACAAGCTATAATTTCCAGGTCAGCCTCAAGGGTAGCCCTACATACAGCGAGCTGCAGCAATCCAGCCTTGAGGTGCCAGTTGTGTGGATAACTATGGCAAGGTCAGGGCTAGAGAGGAAGAGGCCTAGTTGCCTGATCTGGCATATTTGGAAGAATGCCATCCTAGCAACATTTGCTACCTGAGCCTCCATAGATCAGGAGGGATCCAGGAGAACACCCAAGCTCTTGATGGTCAATGCTGGTGTTAACAGCATGCCTTTAAATGCTGGGAGCAGTGTTCCCTCTAAGTGGAGTTAGTGTGAGCTAGCTCACAGTTTTTTAGCCTCCAGCTCACAGATTTTTGTCTTAGCTCAGGAAGGATGACTCCAGAGCAATTTATGCAGTAGTCAAATCGCTCACTCACAACTTTAATGCCAGCAGCTCACAAAGTAGAACTTTTGCTCACAAGACACCACAGCTTAGAAGGAGCATTGTCTGGGAGTTAGCACCCCAACTTCAGGTGCCCCCCACCACCACAGGACCTCCATCTTTGATGGTGTCAGGTATCCAGTTAACAGGATTTCTTAAGAGAAAGTTTATTGAAGAGATATGAGGGCAGAGCCCCTTCTTCAGGCGCTGTTCCTGGTCTCCTAGGGAGGAGTAACCTCTGCCCCATGATCCTCGAAGGGCCGTCCCTCGGCTAGGGCCCTTCTGGTGATATAATTTTACCAGGTTATGGCGATTTTCGGCTTTACATGCCACCCGGATCTACCCCGCTAGGGTTAGAGGGTTGTCTTGCGCCAGCACCTTCTCCAGGATGAGGCCAGCTCTGTAGAATTCGATGAGCACCTCCTCAGGCCACCCTAGCAGTTTTGCAGCCGTGGCCTTAAACGCATCTGAGTATTCTTGCACCGACCGGGTGCCTTGCTGGATGCCCCTCAAGCAGGTCCTCGCCTTCTCCAACTCCAGTGGGTCTTCAAATTGATGGTGGAGGGCTTGCATGAAGGTGTCGACGTCCTTCAGTTCCGGGGCCGCTATGTTGTAAAGGTCAACAAACCAGTCAGCGGTTCGGTCATGTAAGCGGGAACTGACAAAGTCCACCCGCTGTCCATTTGAGGTGAATGCGTGGCCCCACTAATGCAGCATTTTCCGCACTTGGATCGCAAAGAAGGCCAGCTTGGCCGGGCTCCCATCATAGGAAGCTTCCAGCACATCTCGAGGCCATTAAGAACATAAGAGAAGCCAATGTTCAATAAGGCCAATGGCCCATCTAGTCCAACACTCTCTCACACAGTGGCCAAAAATACCAGGTGCCATTAGGAGGTCCAGCAGTGGGGCCAGGACACTAGAAGCCCTTCCACTGTCCCCCTCCCCAAGCACCAAGGATACAGAGCATCACTTGCCCCAGCCTGAGAGTTCCTATCTATACCTTGTGGCTAATAGCCACTGATGGACTTCTGCTCCATATGCTTATCTAATTCCCTCTTGAAGCTGTCCATGCTTGCAGCCACCAGCACCACCTGTGGCAGTGAATTCCATGTGTTAATCACTCTTTGGGTGAAGAAGTACTTCCTTTTATCTGTTCTAACCCGACTGCTCAGCAACTTCATGGAGTGCCCACAAGTTCTTGTATTGTGAGAAAGGAAGAAAAGTACTTCTTTCTTAACCTGCTCTATCCCATGCATAATCTTATAAACCTCAATCATGTCACCCCTCAGACGTCGTTTCTCCAAGCTAAAGAGACCCAAGCATTTTAACCTTTCTTCATAGGGGAAGTGTTCCAACCCTTTTATCATTCTAGTTGCCCTTTTCTGCCCTTTTCTGCCCTTTTTCCAATGCTATAATATCCTTTTAGAGGTGTGGTGACCAGAACTGTACACAGTACAAATGAGGTCGCAACATTGATTTATACAGGGGCATTATGATACTGGCTGATTTGTTTTCAATTCCCTTCCTAATAATCCCCAGCATAGCGTTGGCCTTTTTTATTGCAGTCGCACACTGTCTTGACATTTTCATTGAGTTATCTACTGTTACTTCAAGATCTCGCTCTTGTTCAGTCTCTGCCAGTTCAGACCCCATCAATGTGTATTTATATTTAGGATTTTTGGCTCCAATGTGCATCACTTTTCTATTAATTAGCCAGTTTTTGATCCATAAAAGGACTTGTCCTTTTATCCCATGATTTTTGAGCTTACTTAGGAGCCTTTGATGAGGAACTTTATCAAAAGCTTTCTGGAAGTCAAGGTAAACAATATCTATTGGATCCCCCTTGTCCACATGTTTGTTCACCCCCTCAAAGAACATTAACAGGTTAGTGAGACAAGATCTTCCCTTACAGAACCCATGTTGAGTCTGCCTCAATAGGTTTTGTTCATCTATGTGCCTACTAATTCTTTCCTTAATAATGGTTTCCACCAATTTACCCGGTATCGACGTCAGACTGACTGGCCTGTAATTTCCCGGATCTCCTCTGGAACCCTTTTTAAAGATGGGAGTGACATTAGCTACCTTCCAGTCCTCAGGAATGGAGGCTGATTTTAAGGAGAGATTACATATTTTTGTCAGGAGATCCACAAGTTCACAATTGAGTTCTTTCAGAACTCTTGGATGTATGCCATCTGGGCCTGGTGATTTTTCAGTTTTTAAGTTGTCTATCAGTTTTAGGACCTCCTCTCTCGTCACCTCAATCTGACTCAGGTCTTTCAACACCCCTCCCGAACTCAGCGGCTCTGGAGTGGGCAAGCACCTCTCATCTTCCACAGTGAAGACGGAGGCAAAAAATGCATTTAGCTTCTCAGCCATTTCCCTATCATCCTTCAGTACTCATTTTACCCCTTGGTCATCTAAGGGCCCCACTGCCTCCCTGGCTGGTTTCCTGCTTCTAATGTATTTGAAGGAAGTTTTATTGTTGGTCTTTATGTTTTTTGCTATATGCTCCTCATATTCCCTTTTTGCCTGCCTGATCACAGAGTTGAATTTTATTTGCCACAGCCTGTGTTCCCTTTTATCAACCTCACTGAGACTAGCTTTCCACCGCTTAAAGGAATCCTTCTTACCTTTTACAGCTTCCATTACTTTGTTTGTTAACCATGCAGACTTTTTTCTATACCTATTTGTGCCTTTCCTAATCTGTGGTATATATTTTTTCTGAGCTTCTAGGATTGTAGTTTTAAATAGTCTCCAAGCTTCCCTAATGGTTTTGACCCTTTCTACTTTTCCTTTCAGTTTCTTCCTCACATGTCCCCTCATATCAGAGAAGTTACCCCTTTTAAAGTTAAAAGTGGTTGTGTCAGTCTTTTATACAAATGTTTTTTTATTTATAAGGTTTTCTCATAATATAGTGGTATATCCATAGAATACTGATACATAAAACATATAGAGTAAATTATATTATTTTTTTCCCATCCACTTATACACTCTTGACCATCTTTTCTGGAATAGTGTATAATCTTTCCCTTTAAGTAACGTATCTAACTTGTCCATCTCAGCTGCCTCTAACAATTTCTGTATTAAAAAATCTCTCGAAGGTAATCTATTCCAGTTTTCCAGTAACCTGGCAGCCGTTAAAATATATGTCAGTAAATACCTATCTTTTTGTACATATACATCTGGTATTATATTAAGTAAATATATTTCTGGAAGTAGTTCTAAGTTAGTATTTAAAATCTCAATTTTTTTTTTTATATTTAACCAGTATTCATACATTTTCCCACATTTCCACCACATATGAAAGAAGGATCCGACATTTGTTTTACATTTCCAGGAGTTCTTTGAAATTTTTGCATTACATTTTGCAATTTTATCCGGTGATCTATGAAATATTTTATATATGTTTTCTTTATATGCTGTGGCTCTTAAGTATTTTGCCACTTTCCAGATTTTAGTCCACTCATCTATATCAATATTGTGTCCTATGTCCTGCATCCAGGATATCATGGTTGATTTAACCAATTCATCTTGCATATAATCTTCCCGTAAAGAATTGTATATTTTCTGGATCATTTTATTTCTAGATAAGAGCCAGATTTTATCCAGTTCATTTTGTGTCTGATAAAAACCAATTGTACTATCCTTACTAAATCTCGATTTCAGTTGCACATTTTCCCACCAAGTCAGGTTTAAGTGTCTGTAGATTATCTGCACTTGTTAATTTATTCTTTTTGTCTAATAAAACATTGTATGATTCTTTTTTGTTATCTGTTAATAAGGTAGGTTTTATAAAAGCTTCTAACGGTGAGACCCATCTTGGTATTTTTAAATAATATTTATCTTTTAATTTCCTCCAGATTTTTAATAGAGCTCCTCTTAGAATGTTTTTTTAAGTTTATAAGGTTTTCTCATAATATAGTGGTATATC